GTTGTTCTTTAAACTTTTGTCATCCAAGTCTAGAAATGGCCAATTTCAACACTTGTGACAAAAGGCACTCTTAGTGTTTAACATTTCCTTCTATTTTATCGAGGTAGCAAACTAGTTTAAACTCAAAATCTCTTTCTAAAAAACAAAAACAACTGTTGGATACAACCCTCTCATAGCTTAACTGTAGATAAAACTCGGCAAAAAAAGGAAATAACTCACGAAAGCTCTCATAGCTCAACCTTAGATAAAACTCTGCATTCTCCGGTGAACTCTGTTCACGCCGAAAACAAAAACTCCCTTTTTTCTGTATGTAATTTAAACCGTGATCACTGAAATATTGTTGCTTCTTTACTTTTGTCATTTATCAAGCTTGGAATTGGTTAATTACAAAACTTTTTGTGACAAAAGGCCTCCTTAACACGTTTCCCTTTTTATTGCTTTTAATTTTACACCATGGTTTCACTTATGGATCCTACACTTTTATGGCCAACACTTTATGGATCCTATACACTTTTATGGCCAACACTTTATGGATCCTATACACTTTATGGCCAACACTTTATGGATCCTATACACTTTTATGGCCAACACTTTATGGATCCTATACACTTTTATGGCCAACACTTTTTGGATCCTATACACTTTTATGGCCAACACTTTTCACTTATGGATCCTTCACTCACTTTATGGCCAACACTTTTCAATTATGGATCCTTCACTCACTTTATGGCCAACACTTATCAGGTAGCGAACCTGTTTTTAATCTTATCTATAGATATTAGACATTTGGCAGACCTCAAAACAGACCATAATTTAGTTCACTCAATTAGCAGACTTTGAATAAACAGGTGTCCGCTCTTACCTTTTGTCGAACAGGGCCCAGGTACCGTCAAAAGTCCACCAAATATCAGCTTTTCCACATCCAACCGGGTCTCCAGATCATGAACCAGCGCTCACTAGTACCGGGAACTAGTTTCCATCGGCAGAGACCAATCGCACGTCAAAAATCCCCGGAATGTGGACATGGGAAAACAATTTTAAACGCTCAGTCCAAAAAACAGGACACAAAAAAATATAGTGAGAGAGCGAAAAAGAGTCCCGGAGCCGGTCGCCTCTCCAGCCTGCTGGACCGCTCCCAGGCCCCAGACACTCTCAGCTCTCCCACGCCGAGAAAAAAGAAACAAAGAAAACTCCCTCAAAACAATCCAGAGAATGGCACACACTGAGCCGCGCATTCTCCACCAAATCTGTCAGGATTTAGCAGAGAGAGACGGATCGTGGTGTGCCAAACTCTGGAAGTTTATTTAAGTTTCTCTCAAGTTCCACTGGTTTACTTTGTTTCTTTCTCTCAGACAGAATAAAGGCAGTACAAAGTTTATATAGTCATTGTCACGTCACACATCGAAAGACATACGTGTCACAAAGAGACAGTCAAATCATAGTCATAACATGGAGTCCTTGTAGAGTCCTTGTACAGTCCTGCACGTAGGCCATATTGCTATCTAATACTAACACCAATGTGAGATTTCATAACACTTTGAAACAACTTTTGTTAAAGTTAAACTCATCATTCTATCAATGTGCAGAAGCCAGTACTTTTCCCTTGTTGTGTCTATCTGAAGGCCAAGCTACAAGCACACCGTGGCAGCTGCTGATTGGAGGTCTCCATGCCTCCGCTCTGTATAATACACTTGCATTCTATTGTATCTGTGTTCGTGCTCGTGCTGTCTCTACCATCGACAATAAAACATGTCTTCTGTCTGAATTAAAGACGCGATGCCAGACTTTGTCATCCTATCAGGTGGTGGAGGATGCGGGCCTTGTTTGTAACATCTAGAGAACAGAAGACTTTTTTTTTTTTTACACAAAAAGTGTTTTTTTTTTAAGCCAAAACTGAGAAACCTCAAGAGAAACCATGCATCTGGACCAGCACACTTGGACAATCTGCACAGCCCCTGATTCCACTCAGGCTGTGAGCTGCTGAGACATGGACAACACCATCGTCCTCTTTTGCATGGACACCATTTGGAACAATTGGATTACACAATTTGGACATAATTTGGAACAATCTGGATATCTGAATTTGGACATAATTTGGACTGAATTGAATTGCTGAATCTGGACACTGAAGCTGAAACGTGTGATTCAAAGACACGTCACAGAAGAATTCATGGCTCGACACAAATGCAGCCTGAAGAATCAACACGGAGAAGTGGGAGAGACTGTTTTCAAAGCAATATCTGGAACCACCATCGACTGATGAAGTTTGGTATTTTACTGAAGATTGTTGACAAGTTTTATGAAAGATCTGAACATGTTTTATGAGTTTTTGAAGTATTCCGAGTTCTGAGTTTTTTGAAGTACCGAGTGAAGTACCGAGTTTGAGTTTTTGAAGTATTGAGTTATGATGTTATGTTGCTGTTTATCGATCCTGATGGTCACACGTGAATGTATGACCAGAGGGGGGAATGTGAGATTTCATAACACTTTGAAACAACTTTTGTTAAAGTTAAACTCATCATTCTATCAATGTGCAGAAGCCAGTACTTTTCCCTTGTTGTGTCTATCTGAAGGCCAAGCTACAAGCACACCGTGGCAGCTGCTGATTGGAGGTCTCCATGCCTCCGCTCTGTATAATACACTTGCATTCTATTGTATCTGTGTTCGTGCTCGTGCTGTCTCTACCATCGACAATAAAACATGTCTTCTGTCTGAATTAAAGACGCGATCCCAGACTATGTCATCTTCTTCACTTTCATAAAACTTGTCAACAATCTTCAGTAAAATACCAAACTTCATCAGTCGATGGTTCCAGATATTGCTTTGAAAACAGTCTCTCCCACTTCTCCGTGTTGTTTCTTCAGGCTGCATTTGTGTCGAGCCATGAATTCTTCTGTGACGTGTCTTTCAATCACACGTTTCAGCTTCAGTGTCCAGATTCAGAAATCCAATTCAGTCCAAATTATGTCCAAATTCAGAAATCCAATTGTTCCAAATTATGTCCAAATTGTTTAATCCAATTTTTCCAAATGGTGTCCATGCAAAAGAGGACGATGGTATTGTCCATGTCTCAGCAGCTCACAGTCTGACTGGAATCAGGGGCTGTGCAGATTGTCCAAGTGTGCTGATCCAGATGCATTCTCTTGAGGTTTTTCAGTTTTGGCTTAAAAAAAAAACACTTTTTGTGTAAAAAAAAAGTCTTCTGTTCTCTAGATGTTACAGACAAGGCCCGCATCCTTCCACCACCTGAAGAAGATGACATAGTCTGGGATCGCGTCTTTCATTCAGACAGAAGACATGTTTTATTGTCGATGGTAGAGACAGCACGAACAAAGCACACGATCACAGATACAAGAGAATGCAAGTGTATTATACAGAGCGGAGGCATGGAGACCTCCAATCAGCAGCTTCCAAGGTGTGCTTGTAGCTTGGCCTTCAGATAGACAAAACAAGGGAAAAGTACTGGCTTCTGCACATTGATAGAATGATGAGTTTAACTTTAACAAAAGTTGCTTCAAAGTGTTATGAAATCTCACATCTGTCTGCTGAATCCCTGACACTATATACCTTTATAATAATGAACAACGTGTCTTAACACTTACCGTACATTCAAGAGAGTCCTCTCTTCACTTTCCACGAGACTCCACCGTCGACTTCAGGCAAAGTATTTCGTTGCGTTTTGCGCATGCGCCACATGCGCATGCGCCACATGCGCATTCAGTTTGTAAAGTCCCCAAATTTTGGTTGTGTAAAGAGAGTTGTGTAAAGAGAGTGATGATAACACCAACAGCCGTTTGTGTATATAATATATATATATATATATATATATATATTATATATATATATATATATATATATATATATATATATATATATATATACATATATAAATAATGGTGCTACTTTGAACCGAGAATATAACACATATTTTCAGTTGGTTCATACTTTTTCTTTTGGGTATGTACATAATTCAGTTTTGATGCCTTCAGTGTGAATCTACAATGTTCATAGACATGAAAAAAAATTAAAAATAAAAACTTTTGGTCTGTACTGTACATACATATATCCTTTGATGAGCACTAACACTTTCAACATGTCTTTTGTCCTATTGGATTTATTTAATTGATTTTGACATGACAAGCTATAATCAATCATGATCAAATATTTATCTGATGTGTGTGTGTGTGTAAACAGTTTGAGCATTTACAAAATCCGTGTCTACAGTGTGCTGACCTGATCCATGCTGCAGACTGACTGAAAGTAGTTGTGCAGCATGGAGCAAAGTTGTGCTCCCCCTCAACCCTGATTAGCATTTGTATAGCTCACAGCATTTCCATTTACATGTTAAAGCCTCCTATGGAGGAGGGAGGAGGGGACAACAAACTACCGTGAACAGCCGAATCCCAGAAGTTTCACAGTAATATACAGGGCCGAAAAGAGACGAAAATCACACTTTTCATGCAGTGCTATGTTCCCTCTCGCGCCCTGAGGTCGGCAGATCAGCTGATGCTGGTGGTCCATAAGACACAGCGTAAGCTTCGTGGTGACCGAGCTTTTTCTGTCGCAGGTCCACGTCTTTGGAATCAGTTGCCCATTGAGATAAGACAGGCTCAGTCTCTGCCTGTTTTTAAGTCACTTCTTAAAACTCATCTTTTTTCATTTGCTTTTGATAATGTTTGATTTTAGGTTATATTTTTTATATATGTATTTTAAATGTGTTTGTTTTTGTGTACAGCACTTTGGCTGAACTGTAAAGTTTTTTAAAGTGCTTTATAAATAAAGCTGGTATGGTATGGTATCTCTCGTTGCGTTTCAAAGAGAAAACAGGTTTCACTCAGTTTTCAATGGAAAACAAATTGTCTGCCGTTTATGACACATAATGTGAACTGATTCACGTTCAAGTTCTTTATCAAAAAATCTGTTGCGTTCAGTTCAACGTTCACAAAAAAATGAGCGTGTTCGATGAACGCGTTCTTTTGAACGCGTTCTTTTGAACTCGTTCATGCACAACACTGACCAAGCCCAGGGCAGAGCTCACACATGTGTCCGTGCACCAGGCCTAGGGCAGAGCTCACACATGTGTCCGTGCACCAGGCCAGATGCAGTGTTTTTAAAACCATTAGCTCCTGCGGCGGCTCCTGCGGCGGCTCCTGCGGCGGCTCCTGCGGCGGCTCCAATGGCGTCTGTGGCTCCATGGCGTCTGTGGCTCTCATGGTGTCTGTGGCTCCCATGGCGTTTGTGGCTGCATGGCGTCTGTGGCTCCATGGCGTCTGTGGCTCCCATGGCGTCTGTGGCTCCATGGCGTCTGTGGCTCCATGGCGTCTGTGGCTCCCATGGTGTCTGTGGCTCCCATGGCGTCTGTGTCTCCATGGTGTCTGTAGCCCCATGGTGTCTGTGGCTCTCATAGCGGCTGTGGCTCACTGTTTCCAGTCTGTTTCCTCATGGCTTGGACCTGGGCACTCTTTTGGCGGCTCCCTATTAGTGACAGTCAGGGCCCCGCCTTCAGTGGGAAAGGTCATGAGATCAAGTCTCCAATGGACACACATTCCAACTAAAACGAAGATCTAAAATACTTAACTATACTTAGACTGAACTACAGCATTGACACGATCACTCAAAATGTGACAAATGTGTTTTAATCATTATTTTATAACAAATAACGAAAAGTAAACAACAGGTAACTATATCTAGGGCTGTGTCCAAATTGGTAGGCATCAGGCAACGCAGGGTGGATACGTAGGCATAGAGGGAAGACCACGTAGGCACAGGCAACGTAGGTGGCGAGACCTGAGGTGGATTTGGACAGCAGCTGCCTTCTGCCTTTGTCACGTGACTACGCAACGCAGAGCGGAGCGGAATGACACGGCGGCCATGATTGACGGCAAAAAAGTTCAAAATACCCTTTAATTAGGACATAAAAGTTAATTCTAATATCATTTGGGGCGAGAAATATCCCCCTCTATAGTCATATCAGAAGTCTGTTTGGAGATAAATTTGATAATTTTCGGACTTTACCTAGCCTGAAGCTCCGGTGCTAGAAGCTAACAGCCCAGTTAGCTGCAGTGTTGAAGCCAGTGGGGGCGGGTCCCAGCTCAAAAGTGGCCAAAATGACGTGCGCTGACATGCTTGCAAATCCACCCCGGGCCGATGGGGGTGGACCCAGAAGAAGAATTAGCCAATGCTAACATATAGCATTGGCAGACCTCTCGAAAACGTCTTTACAGGATGGACCAAAAGTTGGTTCTTGGCCCAAAGCTCCGTTCCACATGTGAGTCAATGCTGAGGGGGGTGGATTTTTTTTGGTCCACTCTAGTTTACTTGCTGTGAATTTTTGAAGTCTCTCGTTCAAACGGAGCTGCTCCGGCTGACGCATGCGCAGATGCGTTTTTTCACAATTTTCTTGTCGGCGGGACCACTCGCGGCCATTTTGGATAGCTCCAGTAGAGCACATTTTTTGGCCCATTAGTTAGAACAGCGGAGATAGGCGTGACTCTGTCCGTTAATATATACAGTCTATGGTTGAATCCCAGAAGAGGCCGTCTAAACACGGGTTCACGTAATGAGAGCCCCCTGGATGTTTATAAGGGTTAGGGTTAGAGCAGGCATGTCAAAGTCAAATACATCAGAGGGCCAAAAAAATAAATTTGCTGCGAGCCGAGGGCCGGACTGGTTCAATGTTTATTAACTCATTGCCTGCCAGCCTATTTCAGAACAGGTACTCCCATATTGCCAGCTGTTTCTGATGATTTTTATAGATTTTTCAAGAACCACAGAATATTGTGTACTGTGACTATCTGAAATCTGAAACCAGATTCTGAAAGAATAGACTGTCTACTTTCATCAGCAAAAAGAATTTTGTTTCTAGCTTGTAATCCCCAGTTGAGTAGAGGGAAGTTTTACTGATATCACCAAAAAGCTGAGAAAAAAGAGGCACAACAAGTGCATCTAGCTGTTTTCAAACCATCCAGAGAGCGCTGCTGCCACCTGCTGGCTCGATTCAATATGCTGCTCATCATTCGTTTTTACAAAGTTATATTTTATGTAAACAATGCACATATATTCAATAAATGATTATTATATATGAATTATATATTTGCTATGGCCCTCGTTTGTGCATCATGTGAGATTTCATAACACTTTTAAGCAACTTTTGTTAAAGTTAAACCCATCATTCTATCAATGTGCAGAAGCCAGTACTTTTCCCTTGTTTTGTCTATCTGAAGGCCAAGCTACATGGCACCGTGGAAGCTGCTGATTGGAGGTCTCCATGCCTCCGCTCTGTATAATACACTTGCATTCTGTGTTTGTGCTTTGTTCGTGCTGTCTCTACCATCGACAATAAAACATGTCTTCTGTCTGAATTAAAGACGCGATCCCAGACTTGGCACATCCTCTTCAGGTGGTGGAAGGATGCGGGCCTTGTCTGTAACATCTAGAGAACAGAAGACTACTTTTTTTTTTACACAAAAAGTGTTTTTTTTTAAGCCAAAACTGAGAAACCTCAAGAGAAACCATGCATCTGGACCAGCAACATGGACAATCTGCACAGCCCCTGATTCCAGTCAGGCTGTGAGCTGCTGAGACATGGACAATACCATCGTCCTCTTTTGCATGGACATCATTTGGAACAATTGGATTAAACAATTTGGACATAATTTGGAACAATTGGATTTCTGAATTTGGACATAATTTGGACTGAATTGAATTGCTGAATCTGGACACTGAAGCTGAAACGTGTGATTGAAAGACACGTCACAGAAGAATTCATGGCTCGACACAAATGCAGCCTGAAGAAACCAACACAGAGAAGTGGGAGATACTGTTTTCAAAGCAATATCTGGAACCACCATCGACTGATGAAGTTTGGTATTTTATTGAAGATTGTTGACAAGTTTTATGAAAGATCTGAACATGTTTTATGAGTTTTTGAAGTAGTCCGAGTTCTGAGTTTTTTGAAGTACTGAGTGAAGTACCGAGTTTATGAGTTTTTGAAGTATTGAGTTATGATGTTATGTTGCTGTTTATCGATCCTGATGGTCACACGAGAATGTGTGACCAGAGGGGGGAATGTGAGATTTCATAACACTTTTAAGCAACTTTTGTTAAAGTTAAACCCATCATTCTATCAATGTGCAGAAGCCAGTACTTTTCCCTTGTTTTGTCTATCTGAAGGCCAAGCTACATGGCACCGTGGAAGCTGCTGATTGGAGGTTTCCATGCCTCCGCTCTGTATAATACACTTGCATTCTGTGTTCGTGCTTTGTTCGTGCTGTCTCTACCATCGACAATAAAACATGTCTTCTGTCTGAATTCAAGACGCGATCCCAGACTTGGCACATCCTCTTCAATCACTTAAAAGTAATTTTACCAGACCTAAATGTAATAACGTGTGTTTGCTGATGAGAGAGGAACATCCATGGATCTATAATAATAATTCAATTTGGAGAGACGAGAAAACAGGAAGTTTTGAGTATTTTATTGAAAGGAGGTTTGGCGCCCTAGGTCCCGGTGCGGCCTTCAGATCGGAAAGGCTCCTGCGATAGAGCGCGCACAATCCCCCGGGAACTAGGCACTGGTGGCGGCATTTGGCAGCGGGAAGCAGATTGAAGGCAGATTGGAGGCAGGGTAAAGAGGAGGAGGAGGGGAGGCGGTGGTTGCAAGGCTTCAGAGGCCGAGAGTGGGAGATTCTCCGTTTTTATGCGGCTGGCGAGTCGGTACAGATGATTGGAAGGGGGCGTCTGCTGAGCGATAGGCTGGGGATGCGAGCCGGCCTGGAGGGGGTAATTTTTTGGTTAACGTCTACCAAATTGAATTTTCGCTGGCTGCATTTAAATTTGGAGAGACGAGAAAACAGGAAGTTTTGAGTATTTTATTGAAAGGAGGTTTGGCGCCCTAGGTCCCGGTGCGGCCTTCAGATCGTAAAGGCTCCTGCGATAGAGCGCGCACAATCCCCAAAAAGGCTGCGTGTTGATGGAGTTTTCGAAGCCTGGTTTGGAGGGGACAGACGTCGTGACTACTCTATTCTGTGACCGCTATCGCTATGCTGTGACCGCTATCGCTATATGCTGTGACCGCTATCGCTATATGCTGTGACCGCTATCGCTATATGCTGTGACCGCTATCGCTATATGCTGTGACCGCCAGCGCAATGCTGCTAACCATTTTTTGCTATATGCTGTGACCGCTATCGCTATATGCTGTGACCGCTATCGCTATATGCTGTGACCGCTATCTACTGTGATCAATACTTGCGGATACTCGGCTGCTGCCGCCACCAGGAAGTTTTGTGAGTGATTTATGGAGATGCCAAGAGGCGCTGGGCTGTCAGAATGGTCGAAGTGTCCGGCCTGATGTATGAGGAGAGGGCCGATGATGACCAGCGGCCCGGCTGCTGGAGGGCAGAATGGGAGAGTCCTAGGGACGCGGCGCGCGTGGCGGGGCCTATCCGGAAGGAGTGAGCTGTGTAGAGATGGGGAGACAGGTTACAAGCAGCAGTACGGACTTTAGTTGGGCCCTGAACCAGTTAGATGTCATTGGGAGGTGATCGGGGGTGAGAAATAACGGTCCGTTGAGATCTCCTTTCCGAGAGCGGAGAAGAGTGTAATGCATCATGGATCTGTAGGGACAGGGAGAAGTGTCAGACCGAGCTATGACTATATTGCAAGCGCCTTTGCGTTTGGAATGCTTGAGGTGGAGGTTGAAGTAGTCGGGATAATATGACAGGTCAGAGAAGGCAATGTCTCGGGATGCATTAAAGGCGGCGTGAGTTTGTGAATTCGCTTATGCGTAAGAAGCCCATTTTCGTGTAGGATGCAGCGGAGGAGAGAAGGTGAAGAGACGGAGGGACTAGGCCGGGGCGAGGGATTCCGTGCAGGGGATCTGGCATGGCGATGGATTGGCAGAAGGGCAGAGGCATCAGAACTCCTGGAATTTGAAGCGAGAGAGAGAGTCAGCAATACAGTTAGGTGACGAGGGACGTGACGAACAGTGATGACAAATGTTCGAGACTGAGAGCCATGTGATGCGTCTAAGGAGGATGTGATTTGGGGAGAGGATGAACGACCTCTGTTAATTATTTCAATGACGTCGAGGTTGTCGCACGTCACGGAAATCCTTTTCCTATGCCACGTATGGTTCCGCAGCACGCAGGCTACGGTCACGGGATATATCTCGTGGAGCGCGGAGGAGATGCTTCGAGGGAAAGCGTCGGGCCGGGGCCCGGCGAACCACTGGTCCTGGAAAACCCCCAAAACCCACGGACGGGGCTGCGTCCGTGAAGAACCGCGGGGCATCTGAGACAGGATGATGTCACTGTGTAAAAAAAAAGAGATACACCATCCCAGCGGCTCTGCAGACGGGACCGGAACGCCAGGTCGGAGCGGCGCCCCGCGTCCGGGCAGACAGC